ATATTAAATTTTAAATAGTCAAAGTTTAAAGTTAACATCCAATGACCAATAATAGCAACCGGCGATAAAACTTAAGAGTTATGCTCTTTACCTTAACAGGCATTCACTAAAATTAACATCCAACAGGTAATGTGTACAGTCAAATACCAAATACTATTATTAACAACCAACACTCAAACTTAGTATTAAACATTCTATCATACTCAAGTCGTACCAAAATCCTCTTCCATACCATGGCTGAAACAGGACAATGAAAGAATAAATGCCCATTATCCCCTTATATATCATGTTTAGGGGTTGTTTGGTTGGTTTCTTTTGCCCCTGATTCCCTGCCAAAACTGACAGCAAGCTATCGGTTTTGACAGGGAATCAGAGGCAAAAGAAGCAAAACAAACAGCCCTTTACATAACTCTCACAAACTCCCAATCGAACCGAAGGACTCTATGAGTTAAAAAGTCTTACCCGTGCGGTGGCCCACAGCACAAAAAATGTGTCTAGAAATGGGAACTTAATTTGCACTCTATGTAGACCGAGCCCAATCCATAGTTGGGTAATTAATACAGAACAGCTAAAGTCAAGTTAGCATTACTACGTAGGGGTGTCCAAAAAGCCCGGAGCCCGGGCCCGGCCCGGTGTCCGGCCCGGGCCCAGGCCCGGGTCGCCGTTGACGAGCCCTGTCCGGGCCCGGCCCGGGCCCGGAACAGTGCCCAAATTGGGCACTGGGGCTTCGAATGGCCGGGCCCGGCCCGGCCAAAACGGTCACAAACGTGACCGTTGGCCGGTCCGGGCCGGGCTGGCCCGACCCCAGATTTGACCTTTTGACCGTTTTGCCCCTTAAAACGGTCAAAAAACGGCTATTTTTCGAGGGTTTTTTTGGTCATTTACCTAGGGAGCTGCTTCTATAAATAGAGGGGGGGTTTCAATTCATTTCCTCACAACAAAACTCATCTATTTCTCTCTCTACTACTCTCTTATACAATCTTATACTATCTCATACTAATATACTATCCTATAATCTTTTGTATTTTCTAATACTTCCAACAAATGGCTTCTGGGTCTGATTATGAAGAGCAACATGCATTTCCTACCGATCCAGAGATGAGTCCTCCTACAACAACTCCTCATCCTACCGGTGTTAATCCTGAATCTGGTGGCGACGAATCTACGGCACCAAGAGCTCCAAAAAGGCCGAGGTCTGATGTATGGAATTTTTTTGAGAAGATAGACGTCACCAAGGATGAACACGGTAGGATCATCTCTCAGAATGCGAAATGTGCGTTGTGCGGCCAGATATTCAAAGCTCATCATAAGAGCGGCACCAACCATCTCAAACGGCATATTGAAAAACACAACAAAGGTCAAAATCTACAAGGTGATATCCGGCAGTCTATGCTTTCCCAATCATCCTCTTCAGGTACCCTCGGCAATTGGAATTATGACGCTGCCCGAGGCCAGAAATGCGTAATCAGGTTTATTGTTCTTAAAAATCTTCCTTTTAAATTAGTAGAAGATGATGAATTTGAAGATTTGTTTAGAGATGATTTTTATCCTGCATTTACAAAATTTTCTCGTCAAACCTGTCAACGTGATATTTTAAAATATTATGTTGAGGAACAGGGAAAAATAATTTCTTATTTTAAAAATTTAAACTGCAAATTTTCTTTAACTTCTGATATTTGGTCATCTAGAGTGCAAACTGGTTATTTATGTATAACAGCACACTGGATTGATGAAAGTTGGAAAATGTTTAAAAGAGTTGTTTCTTTTATTGCAATTGAAGAGTCGCACACTGGTATTAATGTTGCAAATTTAATTGTTAAAGAACTTACGAAACTAGAAATTGATCAAAGAATATTTACTCTTTCACTAGATAATGCAAGTAATAATAATGTAGCTGTTGATTTTCTGAAAATAACTTTGTCATTGCCATGTCATGGTGAGCTTTTTCATGTTAGATGTATCTGTCATATTTTAAATTTAATTGTTCAAAGTGCATTTTCTGAAATTAAACCCATGATAGAAAAAGTTAGAACAGTTACTAATATGCATAATGCTTCTGAAATGAGAATTAAAAGATGGAAACAATGTTGTAAAAGAAAAAATTATAAGCCTAGACTAATTCCAAAAGATGTTGACCATAGGTGGAATTCCACCTATGCAATGTTATCTGTAGCAATAGAATATAAAGAAATTATAAATGATTTTATAAATTTTTATGCTTCTAGTTCTAGCTCTGGTAGTGCTTATGGAATAACTGAAGATGAATGGACAGTTATATGTAAATTAAATGAGATGTTACAAGTTTTTTATGATGCTACTATGTTATTATCTGGTTGTTATTATCCAACTATTACTTTAGCTGCTTTACAAATTTTAAATATTCAAAAAAATTTTGCAAAATATCGTATGGATGATATTTTTGGAAATATAATTTTTCAAATGGAGAGTAAATTTAATAAGTATTTTAGGCCTATTCCTCATATTTTTGGTATTGGTGTTCTTATTGATCCATGCTTGAAGGAAATTGGCCTTCGAAGTTTGTTACAATCATTGTATGGTGGACAGATTATAGACTTAGATGATGGATCCACCCTTACTGCTACTACTCATTATTTAGCTATTAGAAATTATTTTCAAACCTTATATGATGAGTATGCAGCTAGATATGGTGTAGCTACACAACAGTCTTCAGCTTCGGCACCTTCAGCTTCGAGCACAGGTCGAGGTAAAAGTGTAAGTTTTGATAGGTATGCAATGGTAGCTGAACTAACTGGTGGATCTGGAACTTCATCAGGATTAGATGTTTCTGAAATAGATGAATATTTTTCTGCTTCTTTAGTTAGATGTCAAGGAAATGCTTTAGATATTTTGCAATGGTGGAAAGTATATGGATCAGTTTCATATCCTATACTTTCCACCATGGTTCGTGACTTACTATCAGTGCAGGTTTCGACTGTAGCCTCGGAATCCGCTTTCAGCACAGCAGGACGTTTGATCGACGACCACAGGACATGCTTAGATCCGTATACTGTACAAGCGGTGATGTGCTTACAGGATTGGTGGAGATACGAGAAGCGAACACAAGGCATCGAACGGATTGCTATGATTGAAGATAAATTTGAAGAGTTGGGACTAGCAGATAGATATAATGATTAGATAATATTCATAAAATTGTAATTTTTATTTCTTAGCTTTAAATTTGAATTAAATTATTTCAAAAAAAGTTACAAATGATAGTGATATGGGTGAGTAGGTGCCAACCTAGTTGGGATGTACTCATCTATTGTGATGCGACGAATTTCGAAATAAATTTATACTTGTAAAGGATTTACCGATTATTAATAAAGAAGTTATTTTTATTATTTTTTGTACTTGTAATTTATGTCATTTCATTTCAAGTTATTAATTAAATTTATGATATTTTTTATAATAATTTATGATTTATGGTTTTGTTAAAATTTTAAAAAAAATAAAAAAAATAAAAAAAAATTTATAAAAAAAACAAACCGGGCCGGCCCGGTGTCCGGGGTTTTGCCCGGCCGACCACCCGGGCCCGGGTCCGGGCTTGGGTTTTGCCCGGCCCGGATGGACAGCCCTATTACTACGTACTACCGGTAAAACAACCAGTATAGAATTCCGCTCCTACCAATGAAAAATTTACGGGAAAAGCTCCTCCTACTTTCTTCCTCCACGGTAAAACATTGCTTGGTGAAGGAATATTTCAATGACAACGGCGGCGGCGGCGCTTAGGCTAGAGAGTTGTTGGTCAGTGGACTCCATAAAAGAGAGAAGAGAGAGAGAGAGTATGTTTGTAATTATGAGAGATATTTTATGGATTTTTTTCCAAGCGATTCTACAGGGACCCCAAATAGGGGACCGGGGGATACCTAGGTTCCCCTCCGTTGGATAATGGCACTCCCCCTCCGGTTGGATGATGCAGTGCATCATTCCAACCGGAGGGGACAGCCCTCACCTCCCTCTGTGCGCGTCCCCTATTTGGGGTCCTTGTGGCATTAATCTTTTAGTTTTACTCTCATTGATGAGTTGGCAGTGTATAAAAGGCTTAAACAGAAAATAGCAATGTATTTGGGGCTTTTGCACATGAGAAATAAGACCAAGGTCTCAGTCGCATGGGCTTTTAAATTTTGGGGCCTTCACATAATTTTCCGTTTTTAAAAATAAGTTTTCTCTCTCTTTCTTTCTCTATTTTAAAGAGAAGCGGGTAACGGGTTTAGATCCATTATAATTGGATATGAAATAGGTGCCGGCTCCCACACCCCCGCCCCACCACCCCACCCCCCTCCATAACCCCCCAACCGCCCAACTCGATAACTAAAACCCTAGAAATCGAGAGAAATCCAAATCCCTTCTCCTTCTTCTTCAATCAGGCATCGTCGAGCCTAGAATCTCCTTATTCCTTGAACCAGAGGAGTCGAATCAAAAAGGGACCAAGATGAGGATTATGATAAAGGGCGGCGTTTGAGAACACGAGGATGATGCCCTGAAGCGGCGGTTATGAAGTACGGGAAGAATCAATGGCTCGGATCTCTTCGCTTCTCGTTCGCAAATCCGCGAAGCAGTGCAAAGCTCGTGGTAATGAGTGGCTCGATCTCGCATTAAAAAAGGTATATTTTAGGATTACTTCATATTTCAATCCGATATTTAATGCCCTAGATTTCGGTAAATTCCAGATAGAACCCTGAACTTTGGGGTGATTTGCGCAAAAGGACCATGTACTATAAGAAATATCTTTGTCATTTCTGGACTTAGGATATTGAAGCTTAAAATTTTGATATTAGAACTATGGATGATGGCTAATTTCTAGCTGCAACGTTGTACTGTGCTTATATTAAGAGCAGTTATTGGTTTTCTTTGGGGATTATTTATGATGAAACCCCCTCTTTACATGAAATAAGCATTAAATGGTACTGTAAATTTTTTTTTTCAAGTGTCATTTGCCGTGTTATGATATTGAAGTTACTTCAATTTTCTTTTTTTAACAGACCGAGTGGACCCGAGAAGAAGATGAAAAATTACTTCATCTGGCAAAACTCATGCCTACACAGTGGAGAACCATTGCTCCGATTGTGGGCAGAACACCGTCTCAGTGCCTTGAGCGCTATGAGAAACTTCTTGATGCAGCTTGTGCAAAGGATGAGAACTATGAGGCGAATGATGACCCGCGAAAGTTGCGACCTGGAGAGATTGACCCTAACCCTGAGTCAAAACCGGCCCGCCCTGATCCGGTTGATATGGATGAAGATGAGAAGGAAATGCTCTCGGAGGCAAGGGCTAGGTTAGCCAACACTAGGGGCAAAAAAGCAAAGAGAAAGGCTAGGGAAAAGCAGCTTGAAGAGGCGAGGAGATTGGCCTCGTTGCAGAAGAGAAGAGAATTGAAGGCAGCTGGGATTCCTACAAGGCAGAGGAGGAGGAAGAGGAAGGGGATTGATTACAATGCAGAAATACCCTTTGAAAAGAGACCTCCTCCGGGGTTCTATGATGTCTCAGGAGAGGAGAGACCTGTAGAGAATCCTAAGTTCCCGACCACTATAGAAGAGCTTGAAGGCAAAAGGCGGGTTGATATAGAAGCACAATTGAGGAAGCAAGATATAGCAAAGAACAAAATCGCACAGAGGCAAGATGCTCCTTCGGCAATATTGCAAGCGAACAAGCTCAACGATCCAGAGGCAGTTAGAAAGAGGTCAAAACTTATGCTTCCAGCACCGCAGATTTCAGATCAAGAATTAGAGGAAATAGCAAAGATGGGTTATGCGAGTGATCTTATTTCAGGTGCCGATGAGCTCTCTGAAGGAAGCGGTGCTACTCGTGCTCTTCTTGCGAATTATTCTCAGACTCCAAGACAAGGAATGACGCCCATGCGGACCCCACAAAGGACACCAGCAGGAAAAGCAGATGCCGTCATGATGGAGGCTGAGAATCTTGCACGGCTGAGAGAGTCTCAGACACCACTATTAGGTGGGGAGAATCCTGAGTTACATCCATCAGATTTTTCTGGAGTCACTCCTAGGAAAAGGGAAATCCAGACTCCAAATCCCATGGCTACTCCTTTGATGAGCCCAGGATCTACAGGTCTTACCCCTAGAATTGGGATGACTCCATCTAGAGATGGGAATTCTTTTGGTGCAACACCGAAATCAACTCCTTATCGAGATGAGCTCCATATAAATGAAGACAATGAAATTCATAAACAGGCTGAGTTGAGAAGGAATTTGCGTTCTGGTTTAACTAGCCTTCCCCAACCTAAGAATGAGTATCAGATAGTTATTCAACCCATTCCAGAGGAGAATGAAGAAGTAGAAGAGAAAATTGAAGAGGACATGTCAGATAAGATAGCTAGAGAGAAGGCTTTGGAACAGGCGAGACAGGAGGTCCTACTCAGGAAGAGATCAAAAGTTCTTCAAAGGGAGCTTCCTCGGCCACCTGCTGCTGCATTGGATCTTATTCGAAATATGTTAATGCGAAAGGATGAAGATAAGAGCTCCTTTGTTCCCCCAACTTTGTTCGAACAGGCTGATGAAATGATAAACAAAGAGCTACTTGCGTTGTTAGAGCATGATAATGCCAAGTATCCACTTGAAGAGAAATCTGATAAGGAAAGAAAGAAAGGGGTAAAGCGAGCAGCAAATGGGAAATCTTCTATGCCTGTGCCTGAAATTGAAGATTTCGAAGAGGATGAACTGAAGGAGGTACGCTTTTCTTGTGCCACCACATATGGTCTGATATTTCATTCCCACTGATACTCCGGCAGGCTTTACCTTCGGCCTTCCATCACTTTTTAACCCATTTCTATCATCTTGTCCTTTTTTTGTTTATGTTTTTCTCTCTTACTAGCTCAATCTACAATTGCTTGTCCCTTACCAATATTATAACACCAATTTTAGTGTTTGATATTACATCATTTATGAACAGCTTGGTAGCCAAGTATCAGTTCTTGAAACATTCTTTAGGACCCTTCTACATGAATCCTCAATTGTTGATAATCCGGCATAGAGACCTGAAACATGGAAGAATCTTTCCTTAGATTATTTTATCCACAAGCATTGTGTTGAAAAGCGGACCGGGCCACCGCTTAAAGCTAAGCGGTACTTAGGCAGCCCGTCTAAGTCTTGGAAGTGCCTAGGGGAGAACGGGCTGCTTACGCGGACTTTACCGTGGTGGAATGGGATATATTGCTCACTTAAGCATAGTAATGGTTGAAGAGAGTAACATAGGTTAGAATGTACCGGATCAAAATATGTCCATCTCAAGTAAAACAATGAGGATATGATTTAAATCTTTGAAAATAATCCTTCTTTCTCTCGATGTTGAAAACATCTATGTGTTGCTTAAGCGTTCGCCTGGGCGTCAGGCGCTAGGTCTGGCACTGGGAAACGCCTAGCGCTTTCTAAAACATTGCCTACTAGTTTTAACACTTTCTGAATTATAAATGATTCTCCTGAAACATTTGTCCCCAGAAACATTTGGAAAGAATAAATTGTATCGGTGATTCAATGGTTAAACAGAAGGACTGAGAAATCTTAGGCAAACTGACACTTGTACTAAATTATGAATGAAATGCATCTACTTTAATATAGGTACATGGGGAATCCGACACCCCTTACTGTTGCTTAACAACACTATAGTAACATCGTAAAAAAATATATGTATAAATACGAGGATGTGTACTGTGTGGCGTAGAAGAGATGAGCAAAGTAAGCATTAGTTTTGCAGGACCCTCGTCACTTTCTTGCTCACTAGTTAATAAGATCCTGAACTAGTATTTTGACACTTAAGGGAGTCTTCTAAGCCACGGGTGATGCGGCTTCTTTAAATTGCACGGGTATAGGATCTGAGACGTGAAAACCAATCTGTTTAGCTATTTATTAGTGACTAATGTTATTTTAGCTAATAAGTTAGTACTTATTTTTTTACTTTGTTTATGGGGTATTTGGGTTGTTGGAGATTCCCCCAGTGGCATTTAATAATTATTTAAAGGAGGGACTACATGGATTCTGTATTGATGAAGATGCTATTACTATCCTAGACCAGTTAGTGCCATAGAGAAAGGCCCAGGTGCCCTATGTGTAGGCCAGATTCTGGGATCTTAAAAATGTTTTTGCTGGGGGAGTTTCTTTATGAGAGTCACTTATAATGGAAGGTTTGAGAACATAGGACAAGTTAAGAGTTATTTTCTTCTGCTTATAAATAATCAAGTAAATTTGAGTCGCTTAAGACTTGACCTTCACTTGCTGCAATCTATTTTCATTATTTTCGGGCAATTTTTTTAAAAGACCATTTATTGCAAGGTAATTGCATGTTGTAATAAATATTAGCCTACCTAACAAAAGCCTAATCATGTAATCCACAATATGCAAAAATTCGGTGGCAGAAACGAGACTTCCTTGGGATTGGAAAGGTCTAGGAGTGTCATGGAAATATTTACGCTATAGCATGCTTATGGGTGTCATGTACTGGTCACATAGTTGGGTATATAAGTAACCCCATTACTATAGTCTTTAAGAACTACAAGGTATGACAAGTGATATTTTCAATAATTAAATGTATGACATGAGGTGCAAGGGAAGAAGATGGGGCCGGGGAGGTATCATGTTTATGGGTGTCAGGTCCTAGTCACATAGTTGGGTATATATATAACCAATGTTACATTAAACGCTAGGCGCTTCTAGGCGTCGGACTTGGCGCCCAGCGCTTAGTCGCCTAGACGGGCGCCTAAGCGGTTTCTGGGCGTTATTTTTCTTTCTTCATTTAAGTGGTGGTCGATGAGGTTTTGCTGAAGGTCGGAGGAGGTAGTGGAGGTGTTCATATTTGGAGGTTAATGGAGTTTGGAGGACGTGTATGCTACGACACATAAAATCACAATCAAGGCCTACAGGGTGCAATCCACGTAAGCAGACAATGCTCTCCTAAATACTCGTAAAATCTAGGTGGGCACCCTAAATACCGCCTAGGCGCTAGGCGCTAGTTAGGCGGTCTAGGTACCGCCTAGGCCTAGGCGTACGCCTAAGCGGGCTAGGCGGAGGTTTTTTAAAACAGTGTATATAACCATATTATTTCTAGGACAAGTGATATTTTTGGTAATTAAATATATGACATATGAGGTGAAAGGGGAGAAGACGGGGATGTATTGGGACCCACAGCCCCATGGAGGGGGTGCCAGGTTTAAACCCATTTTAACCCAACATATGACCAATAAGCAAAAATAATTTAGTATTGTGTTAAATATTCACAATGCAGCATACATTCTATTGACATAGTGCAACACTAAGACACATCTGCTGCATTATTTCAAAATTGTGCTTGACAGAATAAGTCTGTTGTGCTACATAACATGTTTTATTGGTTTTACAGGATTGGCTTCTATTTCCTCCTTGTAATGGTATTATTTTTAGCTAACAAGACTCTAAAGGGATAATTTTCAAATTAGAAAGTGAAGAGGAGCTTAGGGACTCTTTGTACACCATTCAGTGATACAATAAATTCTGAGAAGCGATAATTTGGACGTGAAATATGTATCAAATCCTGAATGATATAGTATGACACCATTTAAATTATTTTTTTAAGAGTTCCTCACAACATCTAGAAACGTTAAATAAGGAGCATATATGAAATTAACATTTAGGGAATCAGGTATTAGTTTCTACATAATTCAGACATGCGAACTGACTATATGGGATCATGCTTTTTTCCTTTAATTTGATGTTTATTTTATGCTGGAGAGAACATGGGCGTTAGGGATATGGGAGAGAAATGTCCAACCTCTTACAGGAACCTTTTTTAAACCTTTCCTTCCCATTTTTGGGAAGCAAAAGCTATCAATCTTCCATAACATTAAGGACTCTTTCGGTAGAATTCTCTCCGAGAGGCTGATTGCCTTTCATAATGACTGTATGCTCATATATTTTCATATATTTAACCTAAGTTGCCTACAGAATTTGCTAGGAAGATGTAGTCTTTATCTCTGTTACCAGCTAAGTTTATGATATTTTGTTCTTGCTTCCTGTCACCAATCTGTCAGAATTAGATAGCTGTCCTCTTTCTGACAAGGTAGAATTTGGTTTATGTACTCCAATGAGGTTTTTTTGGGGATCTATTCATCACTCTTGTGGTTCCCTCAAACTTTTTAATTTTGCACATATTATTCCTTTTCATTACAGTATGAATCCTATCCTGTTTAGAGTTTTATCCATATCCTCAGTATTCAGGAGATAATTGGTTGTCAATGTTTTTAGCACTTGGAATCTATGAAGCATCGGCACTCCGAAACAAGCCCCGAGTCCGTGTCCGACGCGTGTCGGACGCGGACACGCGTTCGACACGCGTCGGACACGCGGTCAACGCCGCCGACACGGGTCAACGCCCCGACTCGCACCCGACATGGCTCACTCGTTCCCGACACGATTGATAGGGCGAAAAAAAACCCGAAATCCAAAACCTAAAACCCAAACCCTAGTTTTCACTCACCCGATTGACTCGTCCTCTTTCTCTCTCGATCTCGACACGGCTGAAAAGAAAACGCCGCTACAAGTTATAGATCTTTCTCTCGATCGGCTCGTCCTCGTCGTCGTCCTCGTCAGCTCGTCCTCTCTCCATCGATCTCTCGTCGGCTAGGTCAGACTCTCTCTGATTCTTCGTCTCTCTCTCCCTCGATCTCTTGATCTTTCTCTCTCAGTCTCTCCCTCGATCTCTCGATCTCTCTCTCGATCTCTCGATCTCTCTCTCCGATCTCTTCCTCTCTCTCTGACTCTCTCTCTTTCTCGATCTCTGATTCCTCTCAGTCTCTCTTTCGATCTCCGAGCTCTTCCTCTCTCAGTCTCTCGATCTCCGATCTCTTCCTCTCAGTCTCTCTCTCCGATCTCTTCCTCTCTCTCAGACTCTCTCCGATCTCTCAGTCTCTCTCTCTGATTCTCTCTCTCTCTCTGTCTCTCTCTCGATCTCTCTCTCTACGATCTCTTCCTCTCTCTGACTCTCTCTTTCTCGATGTATGATTCCTCTCTCTCCGATCTCTTCCTCTCTCTCAATTTTGATCTCTCTTTCTCTCTGATTCTCTCTAGATATAAAGATTTTATTGTTTTTACATTTTAATTTACTATTTTATGTTAATTTACTGTAATTAATTAAGGTTCGGGGTTCCATTAATTTATTGTTAATTAATTAGGGTTTTATTTTTTAATTTACTATTAATTAGGATTTTAGTTACTATTTTGCTATTGTTAATTTTTTAATTTACTGTTATTGCTATTGTATTTTAGAGAAATGGAATAATAAGGGAGTTCTAATGGCAATGAAGTACAAGATGACAAATGTTCATTTTGAAAATATGTTACCAAATTGGAGAAAGCGGGCGGGGGGTGGACGACAGGAGAAAATTGAAGATAGAGATGTAATTATTACATAGGGGAGTTTACCGGTTCACACTCAAGAGTTAAAAATCACCTCATGAGGATAAGCGGGACTGGAATTAATATGTGTTCCAAGTCAACACCCGAAAACTTAAGGGAGTTTCAAAGGACATTGGATCAAGCGGAGGCGAGGTTGAGGGCTTTTAGGTCTAAGATGCCAGTTTTGCCTACATCTTCGACTACAAGGATGACCGGTGTAAGTGCAAGTACAAGCATGCTAATTCGTGCAAGTGAATCTAAGAGGAGGGGGCCTAATACCGTAGAACAAGCATTCAACATGGGAGCAATGGAGAAATTGGATGCATTGATTGGTAGGGTGTTCTTCACCGAGGATTGTCCTTCAACTTGAAAAGGAATTTATATTATGCCAATGCTTTTGCATATGCCACAACGCAAGTAATCTAATCTCTGGCTACAAGCCTCCCGGTTACAATTACATGAGGATCACTATCTTATAACGTGAGAAAACTCACGTAGAGAGATTGATGGAGCCCATCAGAGGCCCATGGCAATAGAAGGGGTTCTCCATTTGTAGTGATGGGTGGACGGATGCATAAAGGAGGCCCATCATCAATTTTATGATGGTAAGTAAGGGTAAGACAATGTTCTTGAATGTTGTGAATGCCAAAGGGAGAAGTTAAGAATAAATATTTTATCCAAGCGTAGCTAGAAAAGTGCATCACAGAGGTGGGACCGTAAAATATCATCCAAATCATAATCGATAATGTTTCGGCATGCAAGGCCGCGGAAGGGCTTGTGGAAGGCACTTGGTCTCACATATTTTATCCAAGCGAAGCTAGAAAAGTGCATCACAGAGGTAGGACCGCAAAATATCATCCAAATAATAACTGATAATGCTTCGGCATGCAAGGCCGCAGGAGGGCTTGTGGAGGGCACTTGGCCTCACATATTTTGGACTCCTTGTGTAGTCCATACACTCAATCTTGCTATCAAGAATATTTGTGTGACTAAGAACACGGAAGCAAATGTCGTGGCTTATGTACAATTACATTGGATTACAGAGATCTCTGATGATGCATTGCTTATGAAGAATTTTATCATGAACCACTCTATGCGGCTTGCCATGTTCAATGATTATTCCAAGATGAAGTTCCTATCGATTGTCGATACAAGATTTGCCTCGTGGATTATTATGTTGAAGACGTTTAAGGTCTCGTCAAGAGAGGCCTCCAAGACATGGTCCTTAGTGATCGATGGAGCTTGTATAAAGAAGATGATGTGAGGAAGGCTCAATTTATGAAAGAGAAAGTCCTCGATGATTTGTAGTGGGACAAGATAGATTTTATTCTTCACTTCACTGGCCCAATCTATGAAATGATAAGGATCACCGACACCGATACACCATGTCTTCATTTGCTGTATGATATGTAGGGTACAATGATTAAGAAGGTGAAGCAAGCTATTTATAGGCATGAGAGTAAAAGGGATAACGAGAAATCTTCTTTTTATAAGGTGGTTCACAAGATCTTGGTGGATCGATGGAACAAGAGCAACAACCCGCTTCAGTGCTTGGCACACTCTTTAGTTCCAAGGTAATATTTCACATTTCACTCTTTAATGCGAATATTTCTATTAATTAATACATTGCGAGCTAATTCATGTTATTAACGAACATATGTACTATCATTCCACATGGCTTAATAAGAACGTCAATCGGCAAGCTTCAAATCAAGATCTTGAGATCTCTACAGAAAGAGCAAAGTTCTTAAGAAGATACTATCCTAACCCCGATGAACGACGGGCGGTGAACTTGGAATATGCTAAGTTTGTGGGGGCTTTGGAGGCTTTTAGTGATGCAGATTCTCTTTCCGATAGAGCACATATGGATCCTAAGTCATGGTGGCTTCTTTGTGGTCTAAGTACTCCAAATTTGCAAGCATTGACCGTAAACCTTCTAGGCCAACCTTGTTCCTCTTCTTGTTGTGAACGGAATTGGAGTACATATGGTTTCATTCACTCCTTAAAAAGGAACAAGCTAACCCCGCACGTCGCGAATGATCTTGTTTATGTTCACACCAACTTTTGCTTACTTCTCGAAGATCGGAAGAGTAATGGAAGGGAATCAAGAAATGTGGGATATTAGCAGAGATGCCTTCGACTCATTTCAAGGTGCCGGCATTTTAGATGTTGCTGTCATTTCTCTTGATGAGCTCACGATGGAGGCCGTTGTGTTTGAGGAGGATGAAGGAGTTGAAGCCATAGAATGATCTTTTTGATGTTTTAACTTGAAATTTTTATTTTAAGATATGCTTTTGGTTGTAATTTTTATATTTTTGAAATGTTAGTAACTTAGTATTTTGTAGCCATGGAACTAGTTGCAACTTGAACTTTATTCTCTTGTATTTTTATATGCTCAAGATGAAAGTAATGAAAATTAAAACTTGGTATTATCTTCAAATCAGTTACATAACTTACATTTGTTATTGATTATACAAGCCAATGTTACATAATAATATAACATAAAAATTGATCTATTTTTCTATATGTTCATCTTCTCTTTCTTGTCTTTTTAACATTATTGTCTTCAATTCTCCAAGAGATCATTGCCATCCCGACGTCTTAATTCACACATGCAACACACTTTCCTTTAGTTTCTTATTTATAATCTCCACTTTACATAACAAAAAATATGAAAATGTAATAGCAAACTAATTCCATATTGATCTATATATAATAATAATATTAAAAAATTCTAGTCGTGTCGTCGTGTCCTATTTTTTGGGGTTTTGCCGTGTTCGTGTCTGTGTCGTTGTGTCCATATCCATCCATGCTTCATAGCTTGGAATCCTGTACTATCAACTCTTCCAATTCTTTTAAGGGACATTTGGTTACGCATATCTGCCTCAAAAGTTGAAGTGCCAATGGATAATGGATATTTGGTCTCTAAGAGTGCAATTTCCGTCGCACTGAAAAGTATCCTTGGTAATATGTTTATGTCTCACCAAGTATAATCCTTTGGTCCTTTAATACAAGTGTGCCAAGTTATAATCGACAACTATCTTTGTATATATTTTTCTTATTTATTCTCCGTAGAACTGACAACGATCTCTGATTACTTTTTTCTTATTTCTTCTCTGTACAGTTCCAGTTCTTTGGCCATTTCTTGCTTTGAAATGGTACTTAGCCTTCTTGTCTTTAATACCCTTTCAGTAGCGTTGCTCATAAAGTAACCAAGGGGAAAAACTGCTTTAATACTGGAAAATAAAAATAAGCTCTAAAGATAAATAGAACCAGGTGAAATTAAGCTATTAGTTACTTTTGTGAATTTCCTAAGAGTATTCAAGGAGACAATCTATACTTAATTTGTGCATTTTAATTAGAAACCTTATTGCAACTAGAACTACTAATCAACACACTTTTAATGGTAGTAGAGATTTAATTTTATGTGTCATTCCTGATGTTAACATCTCTGCTTAGTGCCATTTTTGAAATGAACTTCCATTGCTGTCGGGCATTTTTCTGTATCCTTATTTTACGATGTCTGTGGAGTGCCACTTTCGAAGAGAACTCGAATATCAGGATTCTTTAATGTTATTTATCATAGAAAACTATTGGTACTGGGCTCATTTTAATAGCAGCAGAGATCTTCTCATCATGGTTATAAGTTTGAGTTTCTTTAATATACCCTTTTTCATGTTTTTTATGTCTAAATTTGATTGCTAATTTTTTTATATCAAAACTAGCTTTATTGCTGGCAAATTATTGTTTTAAGTTTCAAAATAGCATTCTTAGTTCCTTCACGCAATTTCTAAATTTATTATGCTTGAATTTGCCAAAAAATGTATTGATTTACACAAAGTGAATTACAAAGCTTTCTTTCCATTTATCTTATTTCTCCCTGTACTTACATTCTCCCTGTACTTACATGTACAGTGTAATATCTGTACTTTAGGCATGGATTTGTTAAACTTTCGGTTTGTTTCGTTGTTCAATCAATCTTTAGATTGTTGTTCCTCATGAACTTTTGAACTGCTCCATTTGGTGCTGAACCATAAGTCTAAGTTTTAAAGATGTTACGTGTCATTCGGATATTTCTCCTTATGTGAATTTGGTCCTATGGTACTACGACTACTCGTTATTACAATTCCAAAAAGATTAGTCTGCAAAGTTTCTCTTCAAATATGACATTAAAACATATACTTATGCATCCGATTCATTGTTTTTTGTAGGCTGATTCTCTGATTAGGGAAGAGGTTGAGTTTCTTCAAGTGGCCATGGGCCATGAGAACGAGTCTCTTGATGATTTCGTTAAAGCACACGATGCATGCCAAGAAGATCTCATGTACTTTCCTGGTCGTAATACATTTGGTCTTGCCAGTGTTGCTGGTAGTAGTGAAAAGCTGGCTGCTTTGCAGAATGACTTCGAAATAATGAAAAAGAGATTGGACGATGAGGCAAAGAAGGCAACCAAACTTGAAAACAAGATTAAACTTCTCACACATGGACATCAGGTGCCTGAATAATCTTATTATATTTGAAACCTGAATAATCAATTACAAATTAATCCTTTTTTTTTAAACTAATGCCATCGTATGTTCCCAATCTAACATTATCTTGCATAATTTTCCTTTCTGTTTGAATGAACAGATGAGGGCTGGGAAGTTATGGTCCCAGATTGAGGCCACATTCAAGCAAATGGACACAGCAGCAACAGAGCTAGAATGCTTTCAAGCTTTGCAAAAGCAGGAAGTAGTGGCGGCTTCATACAGAGTCGGTAGCTTGATGGAAGAAGTCAACAAACAAAAAGGGCTTGAACGAAATCTTCAGCAGCGCTATGGAGATCTGATAGCTGAGCACGACAGAGTTCAGAAGTTACTGGAAGAGCACAGGGAACGTCTACGATTAGAGGATGAAATTACAGCAAAACAGAGGGCACTTGAGGAAGAAGTTGCTGCAAAACAGAGGGCACTTGAGGAAGAAGTTGCAGCGAAGAATCGGGCGCTTGAGGAAGAAATTGTAGCCAGGAGTCATACTGTTGACGAAGAAATGAAAGATGTTGGCGAAACAGATTTGTCTAGTTCAGATCCTACTGATGCTGACAATGCAGACAAAGTTGCTAATGCACCTGATAACCTAAGTAAAGCTAGCAATAATGAAGACATGGCTCCAGAGGGTGTTGGTCATTCTACTGAGTCCGTAGCTACTGACGCATATGTTGCTGAAACTGCTCATCAGGTGGAAAACCCTCATCCTCAAGCTAGTGCTGCTTCTAATTCAAGTGGATTGGATGAGATGATGACAATAGATTCTGTTCAACCCATAGTAGATAATTCAACTGTTTCTGACTCGACTGCTCCTACAATTGCTAATGCCAGTGATCCAACCGTAATCCTGCGAAAATCTGATGTTGTTGCTTCACAGTCTTCAGATGCTGATCCTATAATAACAGAGGTGACAGTTGGTGATTCATCTAGGCAAATGGATGGTCCATGTTTGGTTAGCTTTGGTGAAAATTTGACTGTTAACGCTGAACTACCTAATGAGAGCAATACTTTGGCTTCAGGGAGCGGAGAGATGGAGTCAAGTTAGCTCGGGGAATTGAAAGGGTCTAATGACACTGCAATCAAGTTTGGCATAGTTGAGATTGTTGGTTTTTCCACTGAAATCTGTTTGTTTCAGATTATGAGCTTGTTTCATATCGCAGATGGTGAGGATATCAAATTTCTCACTGAAGGTTTTGAGGGCATCCTTAAAAAGATGAGGAGATTCACCGCAGAGAATCTTTGGCAACTTGTATTATTTTGGCGGTATCTTTGTCAGGTTACCAAAGAAACAAATAATGAGTGTATTTCGAGAGGTATCAGTTCAAGTTGCGTGAATGATATAATGGCATATGAGAATATTGTTGTAAGGCTATTTAAACTCTATTATGCGAATACTAGAACCCTGGACATTATTTCATTTCTCAAGATGATATATCACTGTGACTTGGTTTAATGTTTATTTAATTGACTAATTAATCTTCTCTGTTGAATACTGAGGTTGATGCTCTGAAAGTTCTTAGTAGTTTAACGAAAACTGTGATGAATGTAAGATGTGCTATCAATACTTGCAGAGAACGCAACTGTCGTTATTTGACAAAGCACGTACTGTATACTTTTGTACTACTGCTGGAGAGCAACTGGAGAACAAGAGTTGTAGGATGTAGAGATACTCTGTATATTTTTTTTTCCTTGAAATTTTCCAGGTTTCATGATTTTTCCAGTTTGTTCTCGGTGTGGGGAATTTTGTTGATGTTTTGAAGCGTGAAACGTTTCCCCCGATTTTCCAAGTGCGAGGACATTTTCAATACTGAAAAAATGGCTAAAATACTAGGTTTTTTTTTTGACCTCTTTTGAGACTTCGGTACTTCGGTGACAGTTTGGTATTTTTTTGTTGACCCCAATGGTCAAATAGGCTCAAACTTGGTCGCTAAGGAAATTTTTTTAAAGTAGTCCCTCACTTCTTCACTATTTTGATATTAGTCCCCCTCAAATCATTAAAATTTGTTAGTAGTTTACAGATTTAACTTAATTACAAATCCAAACTTATTTCAAACAACTCAGATTCGGATCCTCTCCAATTATGTGGTAATTAGAAAGAGTCAGATTCTTTCAATCCTTATCGTCTATACTAAATTCAATGAATGAGATCACGTCACTTAAGATTTTTATTGTTATCTTGAAAACCACTATGGTATCGAAAACCACTTGCAAACTTGAAAACCACTATTTGTAATAATCAATGTCATATGGCGTGATCTCATCCGCTAAAAGTGATATAGATGGTAAGGCTAGAGAGAATTGGACCGTCTCCAATTACTACCTAAAATTTGAGAGCATCTCAATCCTTCAAACTCTCATATTCTCCATGTTTCCCTTTTACAAACCCCTTACCCATTTAACTCAATTACAAATTCAAACTCATTTCAAACTCTCATTTTCTCCATTTCAACCCCTCTTACCTGTTTAACTCGATTACAAACCCCTAAGTCTCGCCACAACTTCGATCTGATTCATGTCCCTACTACTTTAATTATCTTAATTAATTGATAAGCTAATTAGATTATGGTTTAACTGATTCTCCCATCCTTTTTTTTTTACAATCCCTTATTCAGGAGTTCTCTACTTATTTTGAAAGCAGAGAATAGACAAATATCAATGTTCACTTAGAAGGGGTGGGGTCCGTGGAGGATTTGGGGTGGGGGTGCGGGATCGTGTTTAGCAAACTTTTAGTGCTTATTGCGCAAATTTAATTGCTGCATTATTATCATAATTATGATAATGATGAACTTTTCTCCTAGATTCACATGTTGGTATGCGCATAGGTAGGTAAAGAGTCACGTATCAAGAAGAAAATGTACACGTGCAAGAAAAAGACACATGAAACAAGAAAATGAAATTTCCGAGTGGCCTTAATTTGTCAAGAGCCCAAACGCAACAAGGTAATGGTTAGCTTGTGGGGACACACAATACAATTTGTTATAAGAGCCCGCCAACTTTTTGTAACCGCCTTAAAGAATGACGTCAGCTGGAATGCCTTGAATTCTGATCTGTCTGTTATTATTCCCAATGAACAATTTTTCACTTCAGCACTATTTAATTTTTTTATTATTAAAATCGATCCTTTTTTTTATTTACCAAAACCGACCCGATTTCTTGATTAGCAGCTTAATCACCTTCCTAATTAGTCGGGGTTGCCAACCCCGACTATTTAGGAGGGTGTTAAACCCTAATTAGAAGCCTTAAATCCTAAAAATTAATGTCCTAAATAGTCGGGGTTGGCAACCCCGACTAATTAGAAAGGTGATTAAGCTGCTAATCATGAAATCGGGTCGATTTTGGTAAAAAAAAGGATCGATTTCAATAATAAAAAATTGGAATGGGGCTGAAGTGAAAAATTGTTCTATTCCCAATAGTAAATGGGTGAACCCGGGCGGGTTAAGTAAATTTGATCATCGTGGGCGAGACTTTATAATTGAGTTCGGATCTTTGCATCTTCAATTATAGAGAGCCCCAGATAACTGGTTATTATGTGGAAGGGCAACATTGGCTCATTTAGTGGGCCCCACCAATAAAAGGCTTTTTAAGTAATTTGTTTAAACATTATCATTCGTGGGGCTCATAGGATGAGCAGATGTGATTGGCGAGTTGTAGAGGTTCTTTATAACCGAAAGTGCAGAGGATCTCTCCCAATTATAGCTAGTACATGATATATTTTATCTAAATATCAGCAACACTGATGCTAAACCTGGATTTTTGTTTTCAAAAATCAAGAGGACGAGGGGGTCAATTGGGCAAATAGTATGTGGACAAAATTAAAATTTGTTCTTAACTTAGCACCCAAAACACAAAGCCCAAGAATTTTACACAGGTAAAGACTATAATACCCATTCTCTCTCTCTAATATTATATTCGTAATAACCATACAATCCCTCCTCTCTCCCTCCTCCTTCCCCCACCATTTTTGCCCTAGCCCCCTCCGTCCCTTCTGCAACCCTCGTGGCGGCCGAAGCTCCTCTCCGGTCTCACGCCTCGACCCCTCGCCTCCGCTCGCCGAGATCCTCCGTGTCCACCGCCGATCCCAGCGCGGCCTCCGCTCGACCCCTCGCCTCTGTTCCCAACCCAATCCCTCCTCCCCCAGACGCCACATCAAACCCCCCTCTCCATCCCTCAGGTCCATCATCCCCCACCATCTATAGTGCTGTCGTTCTTGGAAATTATTGTACTTTATGTCTTTTCATACAACTTGTGCGTGTGTGTTAAATACTTCATTCATCTTTTTCTGCAGGGAAATTTACCGTGGTTGTTAAGGTTATACGCGTTGCTTGTTAAGGTTACGTGTTGGTTGTTAAGGTTATACGCGTTGCTTGTTAAGGTTATATGCGTTGGTTGTTAAGGTTTCGGGTTGCTTGTTAAGTATGCGGGTTGCTTGTTAAAGTTACGCGTTGGTTGTTAAGATTAACCGTAACCTTAACAAGTAATCCGTAACCTTAACAACCAACGTGTAACCTTAACAAGCAACCCAAAACCTTAACAACCAACGCGTATAACTTTAACAACCAACACGTGACCTTAACAACCAATGTATAACCTTAACAAGCAACCTGTAACCTTAACAACCAACACGTAAATCGCTTGGCTTTTGAAAATTCGTAACCTTAACAACCAACGCGTAACCTTAACAAGCAACCCGAAACCTTAACAACCAACGCGTATAACTTTAACAACCAACACGTAACCTTAACAACCAACGTGTAACCTTAACAAACAACCTGTAACTTTAACAACCAACACATAAATCGTTTGGCTTTTGAAAATTTCATTAAAATTAAAAGTGAAATATTATTACAAAATCTAGCTCACTCCCACTACCTAAAACAAATGTATGCATCATCGTCTTCTTCCTCTACCCTGTCAACGGTCTCAAAACCATGGCAGTCCACCTCCTCAGTGAGTGTTGAGTGGTAAAATGAAAGTAATCATACATTGCACAGTTTTATGTGGTGCTGTAAGCATGAATTTTCTGAAGAAAAGTATAGAATTGTTACTGCTTTTTATTTTATGAAGTTATGAATTATTATAGTAGAAGTACAAAAAATTAAAGCTTTTTTTCTATTTCCTTCCTTTTTTTTATTTTTATGAAGGTTTTACGAGTTGCTTGTGAAGGTTACGGGTTTGCTTGTTAAGTTACGCGTTGATTGTTAAGGTTACGGGTTGGTTGTTAAGGTTACAGGTTGGTTGTTAAGCTTAATCTTCACAATCAACGCGTAACCTTAACAAGCAAACCGTAACCTTAACAAGCAACACGTAACCTTAACAAGCAACCCGTAATCTTAACAACCCGTAACCTTATCTGCAAATAGAAAAGATAACTATCATTGGGTACATGTATATTAAACGTAAAGAAAGAAAATACCGTTGATGCAAGAGAGAAGAGGCATTCTTTTTCGAACAGGAAAACTTATTTTGAAGAGATAACTATCATTGGGTACATGTATATTAAACGTAAAGAAAGAAAATACCGTTGATGCAAGAGAGAAGAGGCATTCTTTTTCGAACAGGAAAACTTATTTTGAAGGGGGAAATTAAAAAAAGAAAAAGATCCCAAAAAGAAAACATGTGACAGGAAGAAACTCTGTTGCTAGTAAATCTAGATGCATTAGTTTCAGAAGCTACTCGGGACGAGGCCCAGGCTGCAGGGACAGGTTAAGGTTGAGGTTCTGAGCTTCATGAAATATTCTCGGCGAGCAAAGGCCGAGGGGTCGAGCGAGGGGTCGAGCGGGATCAGCGGTGGACACGGAGGATCTCAGCGAGCAGAGGCGAGGGGTCGAGGCGTGAGACCGGAGAGGAGCTTCGGCCGCCACGAGGGTTGCAGAAGGGACGGAGGGGGCTAGGGCAAAAATGGTGGGGGAAGGAGGAGGGAGAGAGGAGGGATTGTATGGTTATTACGAATATAATATTAGAGAGAGAGAATGTGTATTATAGTCTTTACCTGTGTAAAATTCTTGGGCTTTGTGTTTTGGGGGCTCAGAGCACAGTTATTACGAATTTGGGGGTTTTTAGAGCGTTGAAAAAGTCTTGGGAGGGGAAAGCATATTTGTTACGAATTTGGGGGCTGGAAGCATTTTTCCCTTAATGTAAACAAACGGGCCCTAAGTGCAATTATACCAAAACTTAACTACTTAAATGCTAAAAAGAGATGAAAACTAAGATATAACTGAGCTGCTTAAACCTGACCGACTTCGCTCAGGTGACCGGTCAACCATTGGTTTTTGACTATTGACTTGTTTGGTTGCACTCTTTCTTCCTTTGAGGCTTTACCTTCAATTTTATATCACATTGATGGGACATTAATGATTTTGTTTCTTCATGTCAGGGCTATAAATAGAAAACAGAAAACTCTCACGTAAAAAGCGAGACAGTGTTTGCTGTCTCGCTGGGCGAGACAGTGTTTGCTGTCTCGACCCGCGA